CCAGGATGCACCAGCCACCTCCGAGGTGACGACGGCGGCGTGGCTATCTTGTGGTCTTCAATCATCTATTGGATATTGGAGTTGATTGCATCCCGTAAAAACAGACGTACAGACCGACCGTCGACCGCTGGGAATAAGGCGTGAAGTCAAGCTGAACTCGTTGCAGTCGAACAGCAAAGGTTTGGTTGCGTCGGTGCGATGTAATACGTACAGCAACAAACTGCCACCTCAGATGAGCCGAGGCCGAGTCAAATGATGGAGGTTAACTGTGGGCCGCCGTCCCAATGGATGGTATTCGTACAATCCGTGACCAGATTCGCCCTGCCATAGTTCAGCTGAGCAAAAGGGTCCTGGGGTCCCAAGGTCCAAGTCTCGCATCACATTCGTGTGCTTCCATGGGTTTGTCTCTAACGCATTGCATTGAACAGTGGCCCGGAAAGTTGGAGTCTATTGAACGACGGAAAGACGACATGTAACTTTCAGCAGCCTTCAGCCGAGCCGCGCAGCGCTTGCGCCGGCGAGTGTTGCCGGTCGGGCTGATGTTGTTAGCCAATGGGTCCAGACCAACCTTTCGCAAGCGCTTCAGAAGCCATGGCAGTTCCGGCTCGGCTCTAGAGTCAGAGCTTGCGAGCCGTCAGAAGATGCGGCGAGTTTGCAACGGCTGGCGTGGTGGTTCGGCTGGGTGGTGAGACAGGTTAAAAAAAAGGCGTGGTTTGCTAGCGAGCCCCTGAATTCTTGGTATTGTTGTCGACACGCCCCATTGAGAGACGATGCTCTCTGGCCATGAAGCATTCCAGGGACTTGGATTGACGCATCTCGTTTGTATTCTAGCGATCAGCATGGAAACGTCAATGCGGGCCAGCGTGATCTATGTGAGGATATGACATCTTGGCATGGTAGGTACTGCAAAGCGTGCCGTCTGCTTCTTTTTAAGGTTAAAAAAGAAGAAGCTGAGCGCGGCCTCTGGTGGTCATGCGGTCGAGATAGGGCGACGCAGGGCGATGCAGGAAGACGCAGGGCAGCGGCGTGCAGTGAGCGTGGCGGTGAGTACAGGTAGGTCTTCCGGTGCAAAGGCTCCTTACTTTGCCGGTAGCAGGCAGCTGAAGGGAACTGCTGAACCGTGTGGTGCTCAGTGCTGAAGCAGCAGCCAAAGGCTGGCCTGAGATGACGAACCCAATGGCAATTTGGCGGAGCGGCGGGCATGATGATTAGCCATGCAATCTGGAGCCAACTCCCGTGTGTGTTAGAGGCACGCCTCCCCCTCCTTCAGCTGGCCGTTTGGACGGGAGGCGGCCAGCAGGCTGCGGGATGAAAGCTTCTTGGAGCAGCCCTCAATGCACACGAAGCGAAGGAGATGCCGGCAGAGAGCAGGATACATGCACCTGGCCTGCGTATTGGGCTTGAACAGCGTGCGGGCGGAGGATGGTTGTGGCTGGTGGCAATGGCGATGACAGTGGCAGGCAGGAGGGCGGTTGTCTGGAGGTTCGGGGGCGAGACCAGGAGCATCGGCATGCGGAGGCCAGTGTTGCTTGCGAGACCAGACAGCGGCTCACGGGACCGGGAAGGTGGAGGTCGCATATCCCGACGATTTGTTTTTATTGACGATGGTTTGAGTGGAGGCTGTTTCGTCCGTTTGCCGTGGAAGCGCCTTTCCTGGGCCCAGTGAAAGAAGGGGCACGACCTGGTCTGCGTGCGCATCGGAGCGAACAGACGGTGACAATCTCGCAGCGCGTAGGCAGACTGGACGCGGACGGGACGTGGAGTGGCTCGGACGGTTGATTTGTGGTCATTTTGCAACGATGCTGATCAAAGCTCCGGATCCCAATCATGGGGCAGCATTGCGATGGCGGCGGTAGATGTGGTGTTTTGTGATTTGTATGGGCATTGTGAGAGTTTCCATTGCTTGAATGCGACTGCACAGATGGTGTTCGACTGAGGACGAGATCAAACGGCGGTGGCGGATGCAAATGACAAAAAACAAACGGAGGCGCTGTCGATCGCGAGGAGCTGGCATCGAGGGGTGTCATGCGCATGCTCCTGTTCCTGCTCTTGGAGCGGTGGTGATGTTGACGTGTTTATTCTTTTTGCCGCCGTAGTCGAGGCTGGCGGTGGCCATCAGTGCCGGTCCCGGTGCGGACGATGCGGGCTGTTTGGGTTGCTTTGATGATAATTTCTTGTTCGGGCCATGGAAGTGGGAGATGGAATGGAGGATCCCGAGTTGTGGCCTGCAGGAATGGACTGGACACGTTCTGGCCTGGTGAGGAAGGCAGTGTGAGAAGCTGCTGCCGCCGTCGTGTTTGAAATGCCGGAAGGAGCAGATGTGATGCCCTTCCTTCCATCCATTCATTCATCCGTCCACCCAATGTTCCTGCTAAAATGGATTGCCTCCTCCTGCCTCCTGCGTGCTGTCTCCTGCGCCTGCGCCTGCCTGTCGCCTGTCTCATGCTGCGTCTGTGGTCTGTGCCATGTGTACTCTGTACCTTAGAAGGTGCTGATCAGTGTTGGAAGGAGCAGCGCCGGGCGTGTACCTGCATTTACTGCATCTGCCGTAGGTATTTGCATGTCCCGGCAGTCGGCGCTCCTACTTGCTTGCTGTAAGGTACGAATAGATTCCCATGACTGCTGTGGTTGGTTCCTTCGTGCCTTTAGACCATGCTGTGATCATCATGTGCACTTGCTTTTTCGCTTCAGATTCAGCAGAGCAGGTGCTTGTGCGTCCCCTTGCCTGGACTGGACCTGCTTCAGCTGTGCACTTGCATGTATGACTGGTCAGAGGCAGTCACTACCTACCTACCATAAGGTACCGGAGAACACAGTGGGACGGGGACGTGGAAGGAAAGGCAGTCGCCGTCGTGGTTTCCCCCCACCTCAAATTTGGCATTCGGTGCAAGTGAGCATTACATTGTGCCGGTGCACCACCCACCCCCCTTCCCTTCCCTTCCCGTGGGCCGCACCTACCTAATCTCTCCTGATCCCTCATTGGCGCATCTCGTTACTCCTCCGTTAAGCCCCTGCCGCCATTCCACACCGGCGTCGCTAACATTGCACCCGCCAGCTGGTAACTCATCCCACCCCCTCTCACATCTCTCCAGTCACCCAGTCCAGGGCAGTGTCGCTGCACTCTCCTCTCCACCTGCCGCACCGCTTAAACCACCTCGACCCAACGCTAAATGGCTCTCTCCCCTGCGCCCCGGTCCCCTGTCCTGAGCCAATCCTGGGCCTGCCCTGTTCCCCTCGTCCAATCGCAGGGCTCCTTGCAGCTCCCACAGCAGAGACCAGACCAGACCAAAGCCAGACAAGCCAGGCACAGGCACAGGCACAGGCACAGGCACAGGCACAGGCACGCTCAATCCACGCCTGTCTGCCAGGTACCGCACCTTAGGTTGTCCACCACTGCCAGGTGCATGGCCAGGTACAGGCCGCAGGGGGTCTCTTTTGAGAGTTCTTCTTGCGCTTCTCCAATCTCTCGCTGCCTCTGCCCACAGTCCACGGCCCTCGAATGCCCCTGTCCCCTGTCGACCATCCAGACGACCGACTGCTCTTTTTCCCCTCCTGGGTCACTCCTTTCCCTCCCGTCATCTTCAATTCCACCAGGTCTCCAGTCCTTCTTTCCCACTCGCCGGCCATTCCTTGTTCTCTCTGATCAGCTACACCCAAGTCACTCCCTTTCTTCTTCCGGGTCGTTTTGTTTGCCTGTCACGGACACAAAAAATAGGTAGTAAGGAGGAACGAGAGAAAAAAAACTCTACACAGGAGGACCTCCCATATCATCTCCAACATCACGCCTTCTTCTGTCCCCCTCCTCTTCCCGCCCTCTCCTCCGTCGTCTTTTGACAGCGTCGACACATCGATCGTCAAAGCAGCAAGTCGTGGACTCCCGACGACTCGCTTGGACCCAACAACCGAGAGAGCGAGAGGCACAGAGAGAATCGAGCGGCCCTGCGAGATCCAGTATCTCTGCTACCTTCCACCACCCCATACCGACCCAAAAAGGACTTCTCGACCGGGATTGTCGAATTACCCCCCCGACGGCCACGACTCCCTTTTGTCTTATCAACGCGCGATTCAGCAGCCTCGCTTCTTCACTTCGTTTCTCCCTCCCCCGACCTCGATTTCGACTTCGACCTCGAACCACCGCCTGGCTTCCCTCGCGGTTCCAGCACACCACCACCACTCCCAATCCGACCCCGAAGTCGAAGCACAACTTGCTGCCGCCAGCCTATCGTGCAGGAAACCATTGGATTCCGTGTGCGACTTTGAACCCTGAAAGGTTCCTTGTCCATTGCACTAAACCACCATACTGGCTTGACCCGTCGTACTACCGAAATCTTCGATTCTCCTGGACCGACTACGATTTTATCCAGGTTTTTTCTTCGATCACGATTCCTCCACAGGATCGACGCCGACGCTACCTTGCGGCTGTTCAAAAGTCAAGTCCATTTGCGACGTTGACAGCCAGGCACGATCCCCATACTGCTGAAACACTCCCGACACAGCGCAATCGCTGAACCAGGTACGTTTTTGACATGTTCGCTTGCCACCAAGCCCCTGGCCCTCTCCAGCCTCGTCCCTTTGCCTTGGATATTCGTCGCATTCATGTCAAAACTCTGGCCCTTCCCTCGTCTCAATCCACTCGCTGCGACGGGGCTCAAGCACAGCTCCTGCGTCTCCGACGTTTGCTGAACTCAATCGTTGTTTCCCCACGCTGCAAGACGTCTGGAGCTGAGACCGGAACGTGTTTGTTTGTCCAAGGGTTCCTGTCAAATCTTTGCTAACTAAACTATTTGTGTCCAGGCATCCCATCTTCAGACGCATTCCTGGCCAATTGACGACAACGACTTTTCCAGTTTCAAACAAACTTTCGCCCTTTCATCCCAACTTCTCGATCTACCATCCCAACCACCATTAATGGAAGCTGTCTAATGAAGAGCAACCCCCGAGCTCACTAACCCGTCGAAACACGATTGTTCAGCTTGTCGGTTTCTCGATTATCAGTCACAATGAACCGTTTTCGCACAAAGAAGAGGGCGAAGGATGATACCTCATCCACGCCCCGGGCCTCTCAGGAGTCTGAATCTCCTGCCCCTTTCAGATTGTTTGGCAAGGGCAAGAAGTCGCAGGAGGAGGAGCCTAAGAAAGAGCTCGACCTTGAGAATGCCCTACCGTCGTCTGACGACTTCCGCACGAGTCTATTGATGACTGGTCTTTCGGCGAGGTTCTCCATGCTAAGAGAACAAGATGATCCCAACACCAAGATCGGCAAGGCTAGCGACGACAGCGTCCTGTTTCCCAAGCGTGCATCAAGAATGGATTTTGGATTCGGCGCTGGTGCGAGCGGTCTCTCGGACATTGCTGAGGTTGAGTCCCTAAGGAAAGAGGCCCCTTTTGCCCGTATGGATCGCATGGATTCGTTCCACTCCTCAGACGGAAACTCTGTCTCGGGAAGCATCATGGACCGATCCAAACCGGGAGAAGGGAACAACTTGTTTGGTGGACGCCAGAAGATTTATAAGATTGCCTCGGGAAGCGCATCGACGAAGAATGTCGATGGAGGCGGAATGAGCCACCGTGCTCTGTACGACGACGATGTTGCCATGTCCTCTTTCCAGAAATGGAGGCAGACGGAGAAGGCGAAGATGTCTTTCGACGACGACCAGGACCTGGTTCAATCCACATCAAGTCTCGATCTTGCGCGCGCGGAATCTCCTCCTCCCGCCGGCTACAACCGCAACAGGGAGACAAATTCAACAACCTCCTCAACGCCATCGCTCGGCCGCAACTCTACCGCTGCAACCTCTGTGATGTCCCAACCAACATCTTCCACCAAGGATTGGCAGTCTTCGTCAACCGCGCCGAGTTCTGCAGCGGGCACTCCTCTGCTTGAAAGAAGCATGACCCGCACGAAGCGTCTCTACGAGACAGGTCTGAACAACGAGCTTCAGGAGCAACAATCTTCGGCATTGTCTCGCATGGACACGCTTTCTCGACAGCGTGGCTTTGGCAGCAGGACACCCGACCTTCAGAGTGGCCCTTCACCAACAACAGGTCTTTTTGCAGACCGATTTGGTGATCGCAGAATACTGGCCAAGGGAAGCGCGCCCAATCTGCGATCTGCCAGCCCGCCGACGGCGGCATCGCCGATCCAACCAATGGACTTGGGCATCCGGAACCAGGATTCAAGGCCCTCATTTGGCGGTGCGCCGCCTCTGAGCCCGCCCATCAGTGAAGGGGAGGAACATTCGATTCTTCCCAACGACCGAGGCAAGGCCACAGCCATGGGTATGTTTCAGAAGCCTCTTCACTCTTACGACGATACCAGGTACGCCCAGAGGCAACTTCAACTCCAACAAGGTCGAGAGACACCTACCAATCGATTCCGCACCGAGTCCAATGCTTCGCAAACCACTGGTCGTTCCCGGTCGTCTTCGTCCGCACAGAGACAGCCTATTGAGAGACCTGAGCCCGTCGTCCAGGTTGAGCCTACGTTGGAGGAGGAAGATACCGCGTCGATTTACTACAACGAGAAGGAAGAGGAGGCACAGTTGTCTCCCATGGTTACGAGGCGACCAGCGGACCGCGATCATCCCGCTTTCAGGGATTCGGCCATTCCCACTCCGCTTTCACTCAGCGGCAGGGAGTCAGTTGAGCCCTCCCCAGTTTCCGATCAACCGTTCCCTTCCGCACCTGCCGACCAACTCGGCGCGCCACAAGACTCGCCAACCCTGCCCTCCTCTGCAGGCCTCAGCGGCATGGTTCGCGCCCATCTCCGAACAGACAGCAACACATCGTCAATCTACGGCTCGGCACCTCAAACATCCACTTTCGCCTCCAGATTCCCGCTTGATCCTTACGACCCCTCATCCCTGGCTGACTTGGGAGTGACGGCCAACCCCTGGGAAGTGCAGTCGCCAGACTGGCAGTCTCCGACGATTCCGATGTTCAACGAGCAGGCCACCAAAGAGATCAAGGAAGCCAAGGAGGCTCCGGCGCCTACCTCTGCACCGCCGCCCACCTCTGCCCTGCCGCCCGCTCCTACTTCCGCTCCTGCCCCAGTCCCGAGGGAGAACCCTCCAACAGCGCCTTCTGAACGTCATACCGGCTCCAGCACTGAGATGGAGAAGGAGCACGATGAGTTTGCCAATCAGCTGGCGGATGCCCAGCGCAGGGTCCGAGAGAGACTCACATCGTATGTGGAGTCTGATCGTGACAGCCGATCTCTGTCCCGCTCCTTGTCTCCTCACTCTTTTGAGCGTACCAGAGAACCCTCACTGCCTCGGCCTAACCCTCTTGGAATTCTGAGGTCGAAGACCAGCCGAGGTTCTTTGGCTGACCGTCCTAACCGTGAGAACAGCCAGCATGCCAAGGCGATCAAGATGCTGGGTCTGGCCACTTCGACAATTAGCAGCGCTCCCAGCCCGAACAAGACTAGCTTTGAGGAGAATGAGCGCCAATCCCTCGGCAAGGAGGAGCGCGAGAGGCCTGAAATTGCCAGAGCTGAGACGGCACCCGCTCAACCCCAACAGGAGCAACCCAAGGAAGACGATTCAATGCACGCTGGGTTGCGGGCTTTCAGGCAGGCTCGCAAGCAGCTCTTGGAGGCCCAGCGTAGCCCGACATCGGGTACAATGCCCATTCTACCTGGTGCTCTGGGCGGCTCCACGATTGGCGCCATGGTAGGCCCCCCAGCATCACGCACGGCACCAAGTCGAGACCGCACCCCGGGCACTCGCTCTCCGTCGCGCGAACGCCGTCCTCCTCCCGTGACCTACCAGCGGACGCCAAGCGAAGAGCCTCAAACTGGTGCCGGACCAGGGCGTGGTGGATCACGCCCTCCATCACGCACGGAGCGTGATCGCAGCGGTTCCGAGGCAAGCAACGGTGAGAGGGCTCAGCGCCCTGCCAGACTTCGCACCGTCTCGTCACCGTATGAGGACCGGGGTGCAGGACTCAGTCCTAACGGACCCCCGCCTTCTCGGCCGCTGATGCCGTCTCCCGGTTTGCCCGGCACCAACATCCGCCGGTCGCCGCATATGCCTCCCCAGCCATACCCTGGAGCTGCTCCTGCCCCAAAGGCCCTTGATCGATCTGCATCCCAGGGCAATCTCGCTGTTCAGTATCGTCGCAGAGGACCCGACTCCGGCCAACCATCCCCGGTGTCTCCGATGGCACCCATGCCTTCGCCTCAGATTCCTGTTAGTCAGTCCACGCCTACCTTCAGCCCCCCGCCTCGCCGGCCATCTGCTCCTCCGCTTCCATCTCCTGCGGCAGAGAATGCTCCTGTCACCCGCCTTGATGACTCGATGAAGCGAGTTGTGAAGAAGAAGGATATCTCTGAGCCCACTTTTGTATCGTCTACTTCCCGGGTCCCTACTGTTGCTCTTCCTGAGACGTCAGAGTCCCGCTCGAGGAGCGGTTCTCGATCGCGGTCGGGAAGCATCTTGGGTGCCGCCGCATCCACGCCCAATCTTCATGCTCATGCCAACATCAACCCTCCACCAGTGCCTCCGATCAACCCCAAGCGCCGGAACATGATTGGTTCCATCATTGGCCGTAGGGGTGAGGAGGATATGGGCGCCAGCTCTCCTCATCTCCCTCTGGCGCCGCCGCCGCCAATGGCTAGCGACCCCAACGGTGATGGCAACAGCGCCTTCTCAATCAGCGACGATGAGGATGCCCAAGGGGGCCAGCGACGTCGACTACGCAAGACCATCAGCGAGGCCAACGGCATGAACATGCGTGCTCGCATGAACCGGGGCAACAGTCCTCCAACGGCTATCCCCGGCGGTGTTAATAACAGCTCCATGCCGGGTGGCATGATCTAAGACATTTCACTTGGCTACAATATTTCTATTTCGATTCTAATCTACTCCCATTATCGCACGGATAGCTGGAAAAGGGGACGGGAGAGAAAATGGTCATGACGAATCTATGAAAACCCTTTCTATACTGTTGTTTTACTTTCTATTTCCCACCACATGATCACCGCACAATGGTGTGGTTTCTATTGTATATGTCTTTTTCTTACACTCCTTCTCACTCGCCGCCCTCGTGTGGTTGAGCGACTTATTGGATCTTGACTCCTGGAGAGATCTTAATTAGGCGGGGTCCTGGGTTTCGCGGTAAATGGAGTGCGTCTCGGAGGTGGGCCTGGCGTCTGCCGCGTGCAGGATCTCAATATTTTGGAAGATGGGTGCATGGTTTCAATTTGGAGAATACCAGAGTGTTTCTATACTGTATTATGGGGTACGTTGGGCCGATATACCACGTACCAGGTAGCGTACCGTGGGGAAAATCAAATTATTCGGGCTTCACATCGTTTCTTCCTGTGAACATCGTGTTTGACAAGTGTAGTGTCGACAAGCTCGCCGGCCCTTGATGCTCTGGATGGATCGCCGACATGTCTCTCGTGGGCATGTTAATGATGATTGGTACTGACACGTACTCTCTTCCTCGAGCAAGGCCAGACAAACCATGTCGCTCCTTAAGTCCTCGCGTAGGCGTGGTCTCAACGATTTTGACAAACCTTACGCAACCCCGCCACCTTGCCTGTCCCCTCTAGATCCTAGGTTCAAATCGCAGTAAAGAAGCACTTAAGGCTGTCCTACACTCTACTACTTAGCACACCACTATAACCCGCTATTTAACGCATTACAGATAGCTTGCTGGCTCACGTATGAATGGCGCTAACAAATAGCGCAAGAAAACGCGAATAAAAAAAATAGATGAAAAGTTGCTGCTGTGATCTGATGCAATCAGCAAAAAGATAGGGCCCTAACCAGGGATCGAACCTGGGACCTCTCCCAGATATGAGATGTCGTGAAGACAACCCTAAGGGAGAATCATACCGCTAGACCATCAGGGCTTGGTGTGGTGGGTGATGACCCACCTGTTGGGAACCTGCGGTGACGGAGGGGCCTACGGAGCATCGCGAAGTGTGCATTCGATCTAGATGAAAGACGGGGTTTGGCAGTGCATAGTTGGGATATTTGACGCCTGATGCTGAGACCAGGACGGCACGTAGATGAGAAGTGCAGCATAAGTGAGGAGGCAAGCGCCTGTAGGAGAAGAGTTGGGGGAAGAAGAAAGAGGAAAGTAGAACAGAGGTCGGGCTTTTGCAAAGAGAAGCATGGAGTTCTGATGAAGAGAAGGAGTCACTCAGTGTATGGATAATAGGCATGTTGTGAGTATGACCATGACTTCTGTGAGACTGCGGATGGCAATTCCTGAGCCAATCCAGTCAAGCAAAGCTGTCGTCAGATCCAGCTTTACCTCGCCTGATTGCAGCCCGACATTGAGCTTGCTACTGACGTGCGCTTTCGGACTTGGGCAAGCCATGAAATCGCCGTATGACAGAATCATGACCCGAGATGAGTGCCGCAGGTCAAACGTCCGCAGTTGAACCAGGCCGCCGTCTTTGAATCTTCCATGGCCTCCAGTCTCGGGATTGCATTTCCAGGACAAGATATTTTCCGAAATCTCCGTGTCCATGATCGAGTTTCAGGAAACGACGAACAGAGAGAGGCCTCGCTGCGCGGTGGAACATGACACATCCACGGAGACATTCTCAAACAGGGTGGGCTTTCTTATATCATAGCACGAGGGCATGTCTGTCATGGAGACTTGAGCGGGAGTAACCCGACAGTCTGGCCTGACGAGCGCGAGGAAGAAAGCTTCTATGGTGTTTGGACGAACTTTATCACGTCTCAGACGGACACGCGGGGAGAATAAACCCCGGATATGGCAAGATCGCCCTCTCGCCGACCAGTGGCCATGACTCGGCTGGTGTCGTCTGAAACTTGGGACCAGGAGCTTCAAAGGCTATTCGGTATGGCATTCGCGATATAGGTCTCAACAGATACACAGAACTCGACAACTTGCCCGTCGGAAAAGGGCCCGGCGGAACTTCTCGAGTATATAAAGACGCGGCCATCAGCATCATCTCAAGTCCTGAGGAGTTGATTGATACCACAGTCACATTGAGCATCTTCTACATTAAAATTGACCTGTCCGAATCTTTATCTTGAGTAACATTTCACAAACCGGAAACATGAAGGTCCTCTCACTCTCAATGCTCTTCGTCACGTTTGCCTGCGTCGCGAGCGCACTGCCACAAACACCGCGAGAGGGTTGCGATTCTGTCGCTATTTGTAACGAGCTTTGCGGGAAGCAAGGCAAGGTGAGTTCGACTCCTCGCTGGCAGTTGTATTATGGAAAAAACAGACTTTACTGACGCTTGAATTTCCAGAAACGCGGGGGCAGCGCATGCACGGGGAACAACGCGGCGTCATGTGTTTGTGTCCCAAAGTAATGGATGGAGATGTTGTTGGATCTGGAGCAAGCAAGCGACGGGACTGGTGCCAATGACCGGATGTGGTTCTGTTTTCTATTCACAAAGTACTGCTGAAATTTAAAGTACTTTCATGCATGATTGCTGCGTGGTGGCCTTCGGTGAGAAGAGATGAAAAGTGGCAGTCTTCGGCGCAACTCTGTAGGGCGATGCGGGGGAATCCGCATCGGCCCGGGATGCCGGCCGGGCGCTACTTAAAACGGCCCCATGACCGGGCGTCGAACCTTCCGTAAGCATCAACTGATTTCGAGTCCTCTTGCCCGCCTACCAAATCCAGTCGAGTACCGCGGCCATTTCCCACACTTGACTGAAATACCCGCATAGGATTGCTTGAGTCGTCATTACTCACTACGAACCATCATCAGAGAGAACCCCGCTCGCTGCCGTGACGTATCACACTTGGTGGGTGGCTCAAGCGCTTTGAGGCCCAGCGATAACGTCGAGTTCTCTTTCCAACACACGCCAACAAACGAGTCTGTCACCATGGCCTTCATCCGTGACTATAAACCCTCGGATTTCGAGGATACCGCACACATCGTACGCACCTACCATCTCACATTCGGAAGCTCTACTAACTTTATTCGCAGTGTCGCGCAACCCTGCCCCCATCCCTCGACAAATCCGAAGTAGGCACTCGGATGGCGCCTTTCCTCTGGACGCACCAATACACGCTGCTCTCGCCTTCGACCTGCCACGTCCTCGACGACGGCACCGGGCGCGTGGTGGGGTACTGCATCGGCTGTCCCAACGTCAACGACTTCGCGGCCGCGTATGATCGCTACGTCAAGGAAGTGCTCGAGACGTCGCCGGAGCTGATCGGCAGACGGCCCCAAAACCTTGAGACTAAAGCGCCGTGGAACTTGCCCTCGGGAGAGGTGAACGAGGAGGCTTTGCTTCAGCAGGCTTGGAACCCGACGTGGCTTGTGCTGGACGATGAGAGGAAGGATCTGTGGGGAGAGTGGAAGGGCACGATGCACATCGACCTGCTCGAGGACTACCAAGGCAAGGGATGGGGGAGGAAGTTGATTGGCAAGTTTGAGGAAAGCCTGAGAAAGGCTGATAAGGCCAAAGGTGGAGATGAGAGATTGTACGGCAAGGGATGGCATATTGGTGTCGGCGGGGAGAATGAGAAGGTTGTCAAGTTTTATGAGAAGATGGGGTTCCGGGTCTGGCCTACTGCCGAGAAGGGGTCTATCTGGATGGTGAGGGACATCGAGTAGAGTGGCGCCGGAGGATGGCATAGCGACGTTGACGGACAGGTCCGGGAGAGGGTCACTCTAGCTGGGTGTCTCAGTTCCATTTGCAATTTCTCTTTCACACGATAGCTGGGGTTTGAAGAGTATTGCGACAGCTCCCTCTCGAGTCTATGATACGTCGCCAGAATTAAGCCGAACCGAATAGTCTAGACTGACGAAGCTCCAGAGTCCTAAGCCGACTTCTTATTATAGCCACCCTAGAGATTCGCTATGATGTCGCTCATCGGGGATGGGTCTCATTCGTGGCCAACCGCACTATCCATGCAGCAGCGTTTCCTCCTGGAGTCCTTAGCATGTCATCTCGGCAACCTAAGCAAGCCTTGTTGGCTAAGTGGTATAGCGCCTCACTAGTAATGAGGAGATCGGGCGTTCGATTCGCCCACGAGGCATCACAGCCTGGAGTATCTCCATCGGCCGACGTTTCTTTTTTGAGTTTAAGTTTTGACTTTTCAACGACCTAACGCGCATGTGAGTCTGGTAGTTGATGCATAGGCGTTTAATAGAGAAATGCGCGCCATGAAATTCTCGAATGCTCCTGTTATTTTAATTGTTTGCTCGCCTCCGTGTGCTTAAATTCGTATGGGTGCTGTTGTCATGACTTGGGTCTCGGTGTTTTTGCTTAGATGATCTTGCAGGAAACCGGGAACCGCTGAACTTTAGTGCGCCATCACCTAAGGTAAGTGGGCAAGAGACTCCGACACCGTTCGGAGTCTCCTTCCGTGCGCTAAACACCGGAGTCATGCTGTGGAGATGGTGGGCTAGCGGCTTCGGATCACGAATTTCGGCCTTTACGTAAGGGCCTCTGCGGGGTTTATCATCGGCGCCCGTCGTTCATGTTCTTAAAGTCGGAGCCCTCCTGGATGATTTTCCTCATTCCTTGACCAATCTTGCATCAGTTTATAGAATTTGAAATTCAAAAATGTCTGCTGCCGATATCGACCCCGCCCAGCGGCTCAAGGACCGCAAGCCGATCCCGAAGCCCGTCCCGGCGTATCTCGCCACGGCCGGGTCACCACTTGCCGTCGACAAGGTGCTTTACGAGTCGGCGCAGAAGGCTCCAAGAGTTCTGGTGGAGGAGTTTACTTTGCCCATTCGTTCCGGTAAGGCGTGGAAAGCGCCCGCTGGTTCGATTGTGAGAATCAGCACACCTGAGGGCCCTCAAGTTGGTAAGTTTGGGCGAATGCCTGATCCCCTGAGCACCGAGTGCGACTGGTGTCATCCAGCCGAGCAATGCTACACAGTCGAAGTCCAAGCTGACATGACGCATGCGACCTGAACATCTGGAACGCCCACAACCCCCGCGAACGGTTCTGGGCCTCTCGCACTCGCCAGCTGCACGCAAGCCACGTCTCTGTTGGCGACCGTCTGTGGTCCAACCTCCCGTACATTCGCCCTTTGGTGACTATCATTGCGGATACTCTGGCATGGTACGGCAAAGATGAGCACGGCGGACGCGTGCACGATTTGCTCGGTACGCGATGTGATCCGTACATCAACAGTATCCTCAGCGGTGGAAGCTATGATTTCCAGTGCCACTCCAACCTCACTCGTGCTGTAATTTCACACGGACTGAACGAGAGTGATGTCCATGATGTTATCAACATTTTCCAATCAACGGGGCTGGATGAGCAGGGCCGGTATTTCATGAACCCCTGCCCGGCGGGGCCTGGTGATTACATCGAGTTCCTCGCAGAGCAGGATGTTCTTATGGCTTTGAGTAAGTATCCTCTGCTGAACAATCATTGCGAGGACTAGGCTGACACAAGTTGAATAGGTACTTGCCCCGGAGGTGACTTGTCGCTGTGGGGATTCGGCGAGGATAGTGAGGAGGAAATGATCAAGTGCTGCAGACCGCTAAAGGTTGAAGTTTTCAAGCTGGAGGACGAGGGACTTCTGCAGCGTGAAGGATGGAAGCCTGCAGAGGTTTCGCCTTACAAGGGAAGGCACGGAATGAACATTCCCCTGGGGGAGGTCCGCAACTAAGAAAATCTAACTTGAGACATGGGTCATGAACTATCAATCCCAGAAACATCCAATGTAGTGACAACCATGTTCTTGCCAAGTACACATCGAATGCCGAGAACGCGCTAAGCACAGGGGAAGACTCTCAAATCATTGGCATCTGGTCCATACCATGCCGGTTGATGCATGCTGGTCACAGGGCGGGAAACAACGTGCAGCTGGCCAATGGAAAGATGCACCTCTCAGCTGAAACGTCAATCTGTGGCCAACGACCTTTGGCCGAAAGTCGTTTTACACTTTTTTTCACTTTTTTCACTGCGATTTACTCTCCACTCAAGGGGGTACAAAGTAGGTCGTTGGAGATGGAAAAGAGGGATTTCAACCGCAGTTCATTCTCCGCCTCAAAAGATGAAGAATTATTACTAGTCATTGCGAGAGATTCAATGTTGTTCCTCGATCAATGCCTCATCAGCCAAATTAAGTTCTGTCTGCGCCGGTATCAACCACAGACTGCAAACTCTAGAAGATTGGGATACTTATATTACTACTATATCAAGCGACTCACCAAATACTGTAGCGCTGACAACTTACTTGCTCAGCACCTTGCCATCTTTCCGCACCGCAACCCTTCGCACCGGCTTAAACCCACGAACCAGCCCAGTCCTCGAATCCCTACTCACACCCCCTCCAGTAGCAACGCCATTCCTTCTGACACCTATCCTCCTTAAACTTCTCACAACCTTGCCATAGTCTCCAAAGAACTGATGAGCGCGCACATCCAGTCCTGTCACAAGCCCGTGACCCAAAGTAACACCCCAAATACCTGCAACATTCACAGCATGCGCACTCGCATCTCGGCCTGGTTGCAACAGAACCGAATAGATGCATCCAGTGTACCTGACAGGCCTCAGCGCCACGTTGGCGGGGAACACCCAGCTCTTGCCGCTGTCCATGGAGACAGGATGCCATGGCGTAACAACAAGATCACCGACACGGCACATGATCTCCCTGTGAACAGGCGTCTTGAGAACGGCCACCACGCGTCTAGGACCAGACGGCGTTTGAACAGTCACACCTCTTCTGAGAGTCTTGATGGGAACCTTACGGCCCGAGGCCAGGACAACTGGAGTGGAAGCAATGAAACATACTCCTGAAGAAGTATTATAGGAACTCATCTTTATGCGGCCTCGGTGGGTTGCAACCATATGATTTGACGGTGTTGGCGCGGGCAGGTTATCAAACGCGTTGTCGAGTCTATCCCTGCATGCGATGAACAGCGGACTGTCGACACCGTACTGAAGCGGTCCGGGGTCCTTGAACGTATTGCAGATCTGCCGGGTGTGGGCGTTCAAAAGAGAGGGTAAGTAGTGTACACCCCATTTTGTGTAGTATTCCGGGTTCTTGAGCGCGAGAGAAATTTGGCCCTTTGGTTGGTCGCCCGACAAATCTTCGATCAAAGACTTGTTTTTAGGGTCATTGGGGAACTTTTGTGCTGGGAGGTCTTTGATAAGAGTCTCGAGTGTTTCGATCTTTTGCGGGGAGATTTCGCTCAGCGCCTCGTGCTCGCCGTCTTCTCTCAGGGGTATTATTGATGACAGATAGGAACAGATCTGAGAGCGGGAAAGATGATATGCAATCTCGGACTCTGGGAGAGTGGTGGGACTTGAGAGAGACTGTTCAGTCGTCTTTCTGTAAAGAGAACTCGTCATGCGGGAGTATTCCAAGGAGGCGATGACAATGGACTTCTCAGAGACAAGGTCTGCTGGAACTTTGACCTGCAGATAGGTGTCCCGCGACTGGCCAAACTGCAGGTTTCCGAGAGAGATGGAAAGTTGCTTCGGCTCGTCTTTCTCGTCGGGCAGGGTGATGAATTCTTGCTTATCGACCGAGTCTCCCGTGGTTTCCTCGAGGTCGATAACCGCTGGGTAAGTGAGGCGCAGGGTTGCGTTGATAGCATATGTTGCCTGTAGGTTGGCAACTGCGTGGACGAAAACAGTTCCCTGGCATTTATTAGCGGGGTAGGGGGGAATAAAAGGAAGCATCTCCACTTACAATCATGCCAGCATCCGGAATGAAGGAGTAGTTGCCACCGCCAATCTCGGCGATGGACTTCAACAGACCAGACCTCAGAGAGTATCCAAAACCAAAAGTGTGGACTGAGGCAGGAAGCTGCTCCATGCCACGCAGCTTCGGAACGTATCCTTGCACCGGGCACATGTGATTGGGCATGCCGTCCGTCAATACCATGATGGCTGGCACCCTGCCAGTGTTGACCTCGCCGCCCTCCTTGAACAACTTGATACCCTCGAGAAGTCCATGCCAGAGGTTAGTGGCGTCGATTGGCCTCATGCCGTTGATGTTCTTTTCGGCCAGTGTCTTGTTCTTCTTATTCATAGGCATCAGCTTCTGAACAACCTTGACTTTGGATGCAAAGGTAATGATGCCAAGTCTGTCGGTCTCGTCCATGGTCTCCAGGATTGTGCGAGCGGCATGCTTGACCAAGTCTAGGACCGACAGTCCGTAGTTCTCAGTCTTCTCGCCCGGGTTAGCGGGGACCGGGGCATTGCAGCCCATGCTTCCCGATACATCAATGACCAAGACGATGTCGCAAGGCACATGATCGACAGGCTTAGAAGGTGCTTCAGGGGGGGTTATCTTGGCGATAAGACCGTCGTTGGTGGGCAGGGGATGGATGGAGAGGGCGACATTGTCAGAGGAGGTGGGCTCTTCCGTGTCCGCGTGCATGGTGCTAGTTGTGGTCCACGCCGAGAAGGTCGACCTGATTGAGTCGGTACGGGAGACCGGAGGCGAGCTGCCCTTGGAGGGGCTTCCGAACAACCACTTTTTGACCTGAGGCATGTCAGCAGGGAATATCATAGTCGTATTGAGGGATAGACCAACCATCGTGAGTGTGTCTCAAGCCACCGGAGTTATTGATTGTGACTGGGTTGCAATGAGGAAAGAGTGCAGAGGCAACGGAAATGCAAGTTTTCGGGTGTCACGAATATAAAATCAAACAGCTGGCCGTGGAGGTGATTCACTCAGCTTGACGTTTGGCCTCGCCGCAGATTCACTGGTCCACGTCCTGTGATGAGGGGCTGATGCGGTAAGACCGTCTAGGCTGACGCCTTTGGCTGGATTCGGCCGCAATAGAGGCCAAAACAGCCGTTGACCAATCCCTGGCGTCCAGCGCAGGCTGTGGTGATCAGCCAATTAGAACGCGCCCTGTTGCTCTCGTCTCAAGTAATGCAGTGTTGGCTGCCTAAAGCCAAACGCCCTAATTACTGGCAACATCCTTTCGCATTTTTTGCTTCGAGAAATGGAGTAACTCGGCGGCAAGGCGGTGTTGAGCTAGTGTCAAAGGCGTCTCGCCGAAGAGTGTTTGTGGGGTGGAAATGACACCGCCGAGGCCTCGGCCCGGGGAGTCGGCACCGGGGGCAAGCAGGCATCCACTGCGCCCCGTTCCCCTGAGAAAGCCCAACAGAATGCCTGTCGGGTCGCGTGAGTCCCGTACCTCTGGGACCCGGGACCCAGTGGTGGGCGGCTCTGTTGTTGTTTGCTTCGCCCCCCTAGCAAATTGTACTCGGAGATGTCCTAGTGTCCCTTGGCGGTTCACTGCGCGCGGGTAGGTAATAATTGTTGGTTGGACACAATTACGAAGAGAATAAAGGCCTCCCATTCCCACCTTCACGATCGCTTACCGCAGTTTAATTCCTGTCCTGTTTACCGCCTCATCCTTCAACACGTTGAAAGGCGTTCCGGGTGGGAATGTGTCCTGAAAGCGTCTGTGTCGACGCTTAGCTGGGTGTCAAGTTTACTGGCGTAGAATCCGAGCACTGACGGGGAGTGACTCAGACGCCGTGTCTGATGTCAGACGGCGAAGTTGGGAGGCACTTCTGCTGAGCTGGCCGTTGGCATTGATGGGTAGGCACCAACTGAACCAAATTTAAATCATTTCAGACTGCATGCTGCTAGCCATCATCAGTGACGGCTGCTCCTCCTTAGGCGTAATTGATCTTCAGTCCTCAAACTTAAATTGTCTGTTTTCGGCGTGTTGCTATGATATACCAGCTCGGCGCAAAACACGAATGATGTACCCTCTGTACAAAATCAGGCAGCATGCTCTTCGATGCATCGGACGATTTCGAGTGTTCTGCAAGGACTTGAGCAGCCCTTGGGTCAAGCCCCCTTCAAATGATGGTTCCTGCCGCATACTCCCATCGAACCTACTCAAAGAGCCAGCGGGGTCGTGTCACTAAAGTCTTTGATGCGCCCAAGAAGTAGCTCCAGGCTCCGATAGCCACTTCCTGCAGACCAACCAGGCAGCTCATGACCGCCCAGTTGGATTTCGTAGAACGTCACTCCTCGCTCATAACCCCAGACACCTAGGTTTCCTGCCCCAGCCATTGCGCCTCTGTTCTGCTCAGCGTGATATGGCACGAAGAATGGCGTTGAGGGTTTCTGCTGGAACCCTTGAGCACCATTCCACGTGATGTTTTGTAGAGCCAACAACGTTCCATTAGTCGGAAGGATGAAGTCGAGTGCCCCAGAGCCGATGATCGTGTTGTTAAGCCCATCAATCACTCGTGTAAGTGTATCGTCGACAGCCGGCCCCGGTGAACGGTCATCGCCGAGGAAACCACCACTGATTGAGCACGCCCACCAATAAGCTGCGTTCGGAACATTGAGAGCCTTCTTGACATCCGCACGGTTGAAATAGGACTCTGGGGCCGAGGGCGGCACGTAATCTCCACCATTGATTACACCCAGAGGCTGGTAGGGGAAGGGGCACATATCAGTGATGTGGTAGACATTGAAACAAGGATTGACCTCCATAACAGCGTCGATAAAGTCAAAGTAGACTCCGCAGTCTGACGGAACAGCATCCCATGGTCTTGGCGGAGGCGGGAAAGCGAGATGCTTATCCAGAAAGTCGGCGTAGCCACACTGTTGCTTCTGAGAGCGCAGGCTCGCCATGAAGGTGTCGTTGAGGCCCAAAACATTGTTCCAGTATTCAATGAAATCTGGAAGGATGATCTCCTGTTGAAACTGAGCATTACCAATGAAGGGGTCGTTGATGGCAATTCCCTTGATGTTGAAATACTCTGTGTCATTTTCTTTGAGAAAACCATCGCTGATGTAAGGGACGTAGAATCCGGCATACGATTCACCCGTCTATCATGGTCAGAAAATCACTTCAAAACAACATTTGATGCAGCTATGAGTCCACTCACCAAGTAGATCTTTCGATTATGAAGGTCAAACGTGTCCATAAAGTTCCTCCAGAAGCCCTTGAACTCTCTGACGAGGTTATCCTCATTCAGAATGTCTGGTTCACCCGTAGAATATCCAGTCTTGACAGGTTGGTCAATCCAGACGAAATTGGTGAGCTTGTTCCAAGCGTACGGATTCTTCGTAGGCCCGTACGTTCCAGACTCCCAGAGGATAGGTCCGTTCTCTTGCAGCAGGCCCAACATCGAAGAACAACCCGGTCCTCCGGTGAACCACACTGCTATCTCATCGGTGGCAGAGGGGTTCTCTGACGGAAAGAACCAAAAGAAGAGCTTGCGCGTCTCGCTCGCATTTTGCGAAATCGGCAAAAGTCCTGCGTACGACTCGCCGATATCCCAGTCAACGAGCGGTACTGGGGTTCCGTTCACGGCGAAAGGCATTGTCTTGTTTGTAAGGTAAGAAGTTGAGCGCGGCACGTTTGAGGCTCGGTCGACAAATGCCGCCTGTCGTTGTCCGGCTGCTGCTCTTGCATTTTCAAAGTAGTGAACCCTACTCTTGAAGCTGGAGGCAGCAGACGGTGGCTGGTCGGCTGCGGCTGCAAGAGCTGCGCATACTGGCAGCAGCAACAACTGAGGAAGCTTAACCATGGCGGCTTGCGAGATTCATGAATTGAAAGCTTCGGGTGATCGGAAACCTTGGGGTGATGGGAAAGAAAGACCCACGGGTGCGTGAACAAACGCGACAGCGAATTCGTATAACTACATGGACTTAATACTTGTTTTCTTACGAGGGGAGTTGCTTACAACGCCGGAAAACCAGCTTTCCATCTTCGGAAGGTAGCAATGAGATTTCACGAGGTGAATGAATACGAGATCGACGCCCAAGGATAATGATAGTCGCAGCTATCTTAGTTAAGAAGTTAGACTACTGATTGGACCGCTAACATACCATCTGGTGATTGGCCCACATTTATGCCTGTGATTGACTGCCGCTTTGCCGATGAACATTCGGAATCATAAGAAAGCTTGACAAGATCATGGATCAACGTGAATCATGAGACCCAGAACGGCTGCAGTGCAGGCCGGGTTCAGCAAGCAATCGCACTTAATTAAACGCTCAATGACTCCCTCTCCTCTTTAGCCTTCTCACGTTCTTCAAAGTACTTGATCAGAAAGATGCTTGAGAGCTCCAGGACGCTTACGCCGCACATGATGGAGAATCCCATGTGGAACGAAGGAGCATATTTCCCAACATCGAGAATAACCACTGATACGCAACGACTCAACACGACCATTCACATTCGAGAGCATCGGGGACGACGAACCTGGAACCCACGCGATGAAAGCTTGACCAAGGGTCTGAGCGATTCCAATGACTACCGCTCGCTCCTCCATGTTCTTATGCATGATCTCGATGGCCCATGCCTACAATGATTCAGCATGATGAATGCAAAATGAGCAAGAGACTTACGTAAAGTACCGGCCAAAAGCCCCAAGAAGCCGCGTTGATGAGATACCCAGCGAATGTCAGAGCATAGGTTGACCCGATAGCGACCATAATCATACCGATCAAATTGATGATCTAATGGAATTAGTGAAAAGACATATACTGAGAATGATTTGGGATACTAACTGCGGGTATGAGCAGGACTTGCCATCGTTTCTCTAACCCATCAGAAAGCCATGCATAAAGCAATGTGGTGACCAACCCAACGGCCTGCGCAGCTGTAGGGAAAAGGTTGATCTGGTAGACTGTGAAACGGTCTAAAGATTTGAGCCATACGGAGAAGTAGTTGAGTGGCTGCGTTACCACACAATGACATCTTGTCTCAGTTAGTTTACTGCTGGATGTTCCAAGGAAAGAGTCTTACATCAACGTAAAGCTAAAGACATAGAGGGGCCAATTAGTAAATATCTGCCAGACTCTCGACTTGGTCAGTGGTTCTGGCTTTCTCCGGTCTACCGCCTCCATGCGGCGTATATGCTTCTCTTGCTCCCCTTGCCGCATCCATCGAGCCTTCGTGATGAACGGGCTGTCCGGCACGGCGAAGAAGCCCCAAAGTGGTGCCCATATGGAAATGAAGCCGCAGAATATGAACAGCCAACGCCAACCAGGTAAGCCGCTTGCCCCGTCAAGACCTTTGTAGATAGCAGCTTGAAGATATCCACTGAACATACTGGCAGCATAGCTAGCCGAGTAAAAGATCGATATGCGTTTAGAAAGTTCTTTCAAATGTCAGTGCCAGTCTGACAATTGCACCTGCAGTCATTACCTCTGGGCGTATACCAGCTGCCCATGATTGTCAAAACACCCACTGCAAAGGGACTTTCTAGCAGGCCCAGTAGAAACCGCAAAGCAAAGACTTGGCGAACGCTTCGGACAGATGAGAAGCAAAATGTGACAATAGTCCACAGAAGCTCAGCCATTGGAAGATATATCGAGGGTCGAACTGATCATATTAGATGGAATGGCCGCAAGTAGACTTACATCAATACATACCGCGAGTGAGAAGAAACTGAGACGGAACCTGGCCCACCAAGTAGCCGCAGGTGAAGAACGTCTGTAGAAGATTGTACTGGTTGCCTTCGAAATTCAAATCTTCCTTCATGCCACTAACGTAGGCATTGGCTACAGCGTGGCTTGTTGGTTTGAGCTCAATAAGGTAAAGATCTGGATAGACTCACTTATGTTGCTTGAATCGAGTAGTCTGACAAAGTAGCCGAAGGTTGCCCAACTCCTGTGTCACGTTGATGTTCGAAAGAAAAGCCCGTTCTAGCCAGAGAACAAAAACTTACAAGACAAACAGATCAAGTCTTTGAACAAGCCGTTTCTCGTCTTTCGACCGAGGGCCATCCCAAATCACTTCCTGAACTCGTTGCCATTTCGTGCTGGTGACATGTGAAACCTCTGGCTGTTGAAAACTGTCTCCTTTAGAAGCCGTTTCTGATTCCATCTCGTGAATAGTAACGCGAAAGATAAAGTTTGACGTCTGAAGACCCAAGTATGGTGTTTTGGGAAGGCAAAAGTAAAAGCAACTGGTCAAATCCCCGTGCAGCGTTATCATTTGACAGCCGTCGACACGATTCACTTTACTGACACTTCGGAAGAAGGCCGAGCTACCAGTGCTGACGCAAATTTGGGAATGATGGCGACATTGAAGCATGGTGTTGGATTGGCTACTGCAAGACGTGATTCGCGATATCGCACTTGTACCCATGCTTTCTTCGGTACGAACAGGTTAATCCAAAGCCGTTCTTTGCAGATTTCATATTTCCGGTTGAAAGCAGTGGTGCCCCTTTATCTCTGCTATCAATTGCCAGTGTATTTCCCATATTTGAAACGACTTCCAGTGTGGTCATCCCGCAACCGTTTCTGCCCCGTGCCGTAGATTCTTTCGCGTACGGTGCCGCTTTCGCCCAGTGGTGCATAGACACCTCTTCGGCGGAGTTCGGGGACAAGCAGGTCTACGACGTCTTCAAAGCTCCCGGGGCTCGTCACGTATCCAACGTTAAAGCCATCAAGATCCGCCACTTTCACCCATTCCTCCAGAAAATCAGCTACCCGTGATGCGGACCCTACAGGCACCGGCCCATTGCCACCGATAGCCATCGCCTTTCCGATATTTCGAGGTGTCCAAGTAGGAATATCGTCACCTCGGTACCTCAAACTATTGACAAGCGAGTGCACTCTTCCATCAATCTTGGCATCATCGGGCTTGATCTCCGCATCAAGATCATACTCGGAAAGGTCTATCCCGGCATTGCCGGAGAAGAATGCGAGACCTGGCTCGAAGCTTGCGTATTTCAATGCCTCTTCGTACTTGGCAGTTGCCTCCTCATTGGTTCGGCCGATGATTGGGGTAACTACTGCAAATATCTTCACGCTACGAGGATCGCGGCCAAACTCTGCTGCCTTCTCGCGGATGGCAGCCACACGTGGTGCCAGGATGTGGGGTGAGAGCCCTGATACCATGATAGCCTCAGCATGCTTAGCAGCAAATGCAATTCCAGCGCTCGTATGATGTCAGCTTTTACGACCTTCTAGGTATATCAGAAAGCAAATCACTTACGAGGATGTCCCCGCCTGAAGAAGAAATGGCGTCCTCTGAGGGGACGGGTGCAAAATATGCGGCGCATCCACGTTGAACCTCGAAGTATGATGTTTGACCCAACGAATACCATCAGGATCTGCATAAATCTCGTTCGATTTGTCTCTCCTCAGAGCTTCATCTGACCAAGAGCCCTCCCATATTCTGACATCTGTTAGTCATGCCTGCTTTCAGGAACGTTCCTACTTACTTGTAAAGAAGCTCAACATATTCATCCGCAACTGCGTACCGCTCATCATGCTCGACGTATGACACACCAACCTAACGTGAATGTTGGTGGGCAGAACCTGCGTGGTGTTGAAATGGTTACTCACTGCTTTTGCAGCCGACTCTTTGAACGAAGTCACGATGTTCCATCCAAATCGCCCTTTAGCAAGGTGATCTAGAGTTGAGAAGCGCTTCGCGATAACGAATGGAGCCTCATAACTTGTGCTTGTCGTGACGATAAACCCAAGGTTCTTCGTCACTGCAGCCATTGCAGTCACTGGCTACCACTGGTCAGTGTGTTTCTTATACGTGACATCCCATACTCACCACAGCTGGGTCTCCCATTGGGTACTGGCAGCATGTTCTAATGGTTGGCTCTGCGCTTCCTTTGTAGATATCATGCTGGCCGTACGTATCTGCAAGGATCAATGCGTTGATGTCTCCTCGCTCAAGTGTTTGTGCTAGACTCGTCCAGTAGCTGAGATCACTAAACTTGTCAGAAGCCGTGTCGTCGGGTCTGCGCCACTGGCCGAAGCACAGATGACTGGGCGTGAACATGTCAAACGCATTGAGAATGATTCGTCGTTTTTCCGATACGGCCATTGATTCCGCTGAACGACACAGAAACACTAAAGTGAAGTTTAGCTTAGGAGCATAATTCGTCTCATCGCTATCTCCATTGTTGCTAGATAAATGAATCTGCTCTACAGCTTGTGCCACCACGTATTCCCTGAAGGAATGCGACCGAAATCGGCAGGCTGCCAGACTTCTCGATCCTTTAGACCAACAGTGGGGTTGCAGATTCGCAACCGGAATCGAGAATGGCGTGCGTCACACCACATAAACGACACTGTTCTGCCTGATGAATACCATTGTGACGTTCAGTGCCTACCGGCCACCCAAATACTTCCATGCAACCCCGGTGAACCATCTAGATGCTGCCAATTACTCCGATGCAGAAGCAGGCAGGTGGAGAAAGCAGCCATCATGACAACGTAGCTCCGCTAGCTTTCTGTCCTCTTATCTCTCCCACACCTTGAATTTCCAAGAGATTGCTAAGCATTTGTTTCTACGGCTCCAAATCTGTTCCCGATTACGATAGATCTCTATCACGCCAGTGTCGTTCGAAACAACGTGCTCCTAGTTCCACGCATGCAGAATCCTATCAGGCGATTTGCAAATTGTGAAAAGTGTTGCGTGATTGAAGGTCTGTTTTCTTTTATTATGCCTGAGACTTTTGTTTTTCAGTGTCATTGAAGCAGTCGTTCATCTTTAGTGTTATTCTTCGTGGTTTATCCATTTCAATCTCAATAATATGGCTCCCACTGCAATTGCTGACTTGGTCAATCACGGCCACAACGCAGACTCGAGAGAGCGTCTAGATGTTTTGAAAACCATCGATCCGGACTTTGTGATCGAGGAACATCCCATCGATGAGTATGAACCTATCCGAGCTATAGTCGTCGGAGGCGGCATAAGTGGAATTATCGCCAGCATATTGCTGCCAGCGAAAGTTCCCAATCTAGACCTGGTCGTCTACGAGAGAAACTCAGATATCGTATGAGCACGGTGACGCCTTATTGAGATTTGGTTACTGATGAGGCAGTAGGGAGGTGTTTGGCACACCAATATTTACCCAGGCGTGCGATGCGATGTTCCTGCCCACGCTTACCAGGCAACATTCGCCCCCTCAACGACATGGACGGAGGCGTACGCAACTGGGCCTGAGATATTTGCCTATTGGAAACGCATCGCAGATCAGTATGAGGTGCGCAAGTACATCCGTACGAGCCATACCGTGACCTCAGCAGAATGGTCCGAAGAGAAGGCGAAGTGGATTGTTAAGATTCATTCAGATGAAGGAGAATTTGTTGACGAGGCCAACTTCTTGATTACCGCCACAGGCCATTTCAGCGACCCGAAGCTCCCAGATTATCCGGGCATCAAGGACTTCAAAGGGCACCTCAGACATACCTCAAATTGGGATCCAAACTTCGACCCCCGAGACAAGTGTATCGCCGTTATTGGAAACGGTGCTTCAGGACTTCAGGTGCTGCCACAATTGCAGAAAGTCGCATCGAGAATCGACCACTATGCCCGCAACAAGACGTGGGTGGCAGCGCCGATTGGAGGAGAAGATCTTGCAGACTTTGTCGCCGACAACATCGAAGACGCGCGAACAAGCCCAGAAAATTACTTGAGATTTCGCAAAGCCCTGGAAGCAAAGCTCTTTAGTCGCTTTGGTGGCATCTTCAAGGATGGACCGCAGAACGCAGCTGCTGAGGAATCTATCCGAAAACTGATGAAGGCTCGCCTTTCCGGAAATAATGAGCTGGCGGAAGAGATCATTCCTGACTTTTCCGTTGGCTGTCGTCGGCTGACACCAGGGCCTGGGTATCTGGAAGCGCTGACGGCGGACAACGTGAAGTACATAAGGGACCACATTGCGGAGTTTACAGAAACGGGTATCCGTACGGTTGACGGTATGACTTTCAGTCCCAGTACAAGTCCAACTTACTGATACTAGCGATAGGGACTCATCGAGAGGTGGATGCTGTCATCTGTAGTACTGGGCACGACATTACTTTCAGCACTCAATTCCCAGTCTTATGCAACGGGATCGACCTACAGAAAGCCTGGCGGCCTGGTGGCAAGCCCGGCTTCCCTGACACATACCTCGGCATGCTTGCTCCAGAAGTCCCTAATTTCCTGACAGTACTCGGACCAAATGCAACAGGTCCAGCAGGTACCTTATGCCATGCTGTAGAAAACCAGCTTACGTATGTCGCCAAATTACTGCGCAAAGCTGCGACGCATGGCATCCGAAGTATGGCACCTACAGCTGAAGCGACTCGTGACTTCCGAGCCTACACCGAAGCCTTTTTCCCTCGAACTGTCATGAGTGAGTCATGTAGTTCGTGGTACAACGGAGGGATCAAAGGTGGCAGAATTCACGGGTTATGGCCTGGCAGTGCTGCGCATGTGGACTTGGTCCGGAAAGACCCTCGATGGGAAGATTTCAGCTACACGTACAATAATCCTCAAGGAAACAGATTTGGGTGGTTGGGGAATGGATGGACGAAGAAGGATGTGGCGGCGGCAAATGGTGAAGCTCCTTCTGACGTAGATCTCACACCTTGGCTTGAAAAGGAAGCCTTCAGTGGGAATGTTGATCTACGCAGTTACCACGAGAAGTGGTGGATTAGTTGAGCTTCTTGAAAAAGCATTCGTCGCGTATTGGCTACGTATTCGGGGGTGAGGTTCGCTCTGTTGGTCTCATGAATTCACCGTCACTCGTGTAATGTCTATGAAGGCATAGTTGCCACGTCCCTTCCGAAATTGGACGACGTCAGTTAAGGGTTATGTCTGTGCTGAATGTCTATGAATAACAAACTAAATTGGAAGGGATGGAAGGTTAAGCCGAAATAAATCATGGTGTTCAGTCTCTTTCACCGTCCAGACAAGGGGTGTAAGGGTGAATACCCCAGGTAACATTAAGGCCTGGGAAAGGAACTTGTTTTCCACGTATTGGGTAAACGGCGCGACACATGGCTGGCGATTAACCACCTGAAGTCTGAGACTGTCTGAGAAAGAAAGCGTTAAGTCCAGAGCACCTGTCTGAGATCTGCCAAGAGCTGAGTTGGAAGCGTCGATTCCGGCGGAATGTGTAGCTCATTATTGTTGGTGTTGCCGAGCTTGATTCCCAACACTTACGGCCCGTGAATTTCATGTTTTCAAAGAATTTTCCTTTGTTAGCTCCACTTACAGAGCTGGTCTTACTGAAAGGCTTCACAGTGTTTGGTTCGATAAAGTACGCCTCCATTTCTCTATCTCAAAAGCCTGAAAGTTGCTGCGACACTTCTTAAAACGTAGTTGACGTCGGAAATCGTCGAAGATTTGTTGATATCGGCAATAGATTTTCAATTTACTTACCATTCATGCTGCATGCAACAGCGGCTGAGTGGCCGATGGTGAGGCGGAAAGAAATTGGCTCAAAAGGACCCGTGCTTCCAGACCCGACCAGTTGGTACGCATGCCATTGAAAGGAATTTCCATTCTTGAAGCCAGATTGCGACCTCTAATGCAACACAGCATCCACGTGAGAAGCACGCACTTTTGATCCTCCCGACTCATACGGATACTGATACCTGCTCAAAGTGATTCCCCCTTGTGACGAAGATGCAAGATGGTTAACTCCCAGGCGCGTTTTGAACCAGCGTAATCTGACCCAGACGAGACATATCGTAGAAAAGGAAAGTAAATGTCATTGCAATGATTGAAAAACGCCGGGGCTTTGAATCTATCAAACCATCACAAGACGTATTGTATCTTACCTTATATAGTGCCCGTCGCACCTGTTGTGCACAAAACTTCAATCGCTTCTCTCGGTTCGGTATCGTCGGCAAATCGCAACTGTGCAAGTTTTTCACTGTTTATCTTAAAATGAGGATACTCATACGCAGTCTCTGCGCTTTTACATCATTATTGAGCCTAGCAGAATGCATCATTATCAGATCTGGTGGGAGTGCTGACGAACTGGCAACCGCGGCAATCCAAGATAGTCGCTTGACACCGGTAGGCGCTACGTTCGATCAAGTTTCCGGCGGCCCTGTTTCCTATGGAACGTTTGCAGACGGCCCCAACGGACTTTCAGGAGTTATTATGAGTACAGGAAAAGTTGAAGATGCACCAGCGGGATATCAATGTCCACAAGAGAGTGTTCGAGAGAGCATTTTCGTCGAGCGGAGAGTGCCAAACCAGTGCGTACCCAGCACGGCCTTTACCCAAAGCACTTACGCATGCGTGGACCGTGTGAGCTTTGCCATGGACATTGCATCTTCTGAAGGTGTCAGTGAGATTAGAATAAGTTTCATTTTTGCCACTGGCGAAGAGTCTGTGAGCTTTCGGTCAAACCTGTTGTTCTATGCTGACAATTAGCAGCCTTGTTGATGGAGCCGAGGACAGCTTCGGGATGCGTTGGGACGGGGAATCAGGCCACTCCTTGTCAGGCAATGCTAAGATCTCGTACCTTCCCCTCAATGGCGCAGACCTCGGTCTCTCATATACGCGAGCCTCTGCCCAGACTGTTGTCTTCCCTTTATCATATGACCTGCGTGAAGAACGCCGCCGTCAAGCAGGAAGAACTATTAGTATCGACAACTTGTATGTGGGCGTTTGTGACATCAGAAATCCTTATGTCGATTCCGCAGTGCTTGTTGCCGTGTCTGGTTATCCGGCCCCGACATCTGCGACGTCAACATCGATGGAAACCTCCACGGAAACTTCAACCGAAAGTTCAACGGGAACCTCCACAGAGACCTCCACAGAGGGATTCTCAACTATAACCACCACCTCCTTAGAACCAGAGCTTCCGGCAACCACGTCATCTACAACGTCCACTGCCACTGATCTGTCGACAGAGACAACTACTCTTGCATCGTCAACAGTCGAGTCTTCCTCCTCGGCTGTCTCCCCAAGCCGCTCATCAGTGGAGCCTTCGTCTACGACGATAGAGCTTTCGACTTCAAGCTCTTTTGCAGACGCTACCACTACTGGCACCCCAATTATATCTTTTCCACTGATAACACAGACAGCTACTACGGACTCGTTACCATCCGAGTTCCCGACTCCGACACACCAGACGACGCTAGATACGATAGCGAGCAGCAACACGTCCATTTCGACGACCACACCAAGAACAGAAACATCCCTTGGCGCAACAACAACGCCCGTGATCACAGCAACATCATCGGTTGATGCGGCGGTGAGCAATTCAGAAACAAGCACTGCAAGTATAGCATCTGCAGAGTTTGCATTGTCTCCGCCCATAGGGCAGACTACGCCGTCACCAACTTCGCAAGGCACTGCATCAGATGCCTCTCGATCCTCACTTATGGCAACTTTGGACCTAGATATAATTGCTTCGTCACCAGCCAATCCGAGCACAATGGGTTCAACACCACAATCTTCAGCTAGCTTCATTTCTTCTACCCTCAGGCCTAGTTCATCCACTGAAACCACCACACCCACGTCCAGCCAGGCGACATCCACCCCATTCGTGAATATACCATCCACTTCGACTTCAGCAACGAGAACAACACCTCAATCAGAATCTCAACCAGCCGCCACAAGCACGCTACCTTCATCTGAGCCCACAGTCTCCAACGTACCTGTCATCAACAATCATGTATTCCGGGGCTGCTTGGGCTCCCAAGCTGGGTACCCATCTTTCAATGAGGTCGGAAGAGATGCCGCCATGACCCCTCAAAAATGTATCCAGTTGGCAGGAAGTCTTAGATATGCTGGCGTCGTCTTCGAGTAAGTACAGTCCCGACACCTGCTGAAATTCGTTCACTAACACTTATGGCTTTCAGCACCTGTTACGGTTCGGACTCTCTCGAGTCGGCGTCGTTTGTGCCCACTGAGGGATGTGGAACACCATGCCCAGGAGATATTCAACAGATTTGCGGCGGAAGCGTAGCCACAAACATCACGAGGCTGCGGGCACGACATTTCAGATCACAGGTTTCCAAGCGAGCTGTCCCTGTCAGCGTCCTTCTTACCATCTACGAACGGGTGGATTCTTCTGTCGTGACCCCTGGCACATCTACAACGACCATTGCTGTTGGAGGTGACTCGATCTTGCCATCCACACCAATCACTTTGCTTATCTCAGCTGCATCAGAGAGCGCCACTCCTGTCACGAATGCAGTCACACCTCCAGGTCAGCTTACGACTGTTGAGAATCCTCCTGATCCTGCGGTTTCTTCACGGCTAAGCTCTTTCACGAGCGTGTTTACTATTGACGGCGTCCCAACAACATTGGTCGGGGCTATCACGCCACCCGTCGCTGCTCCAAGCTCCCCCGCCGTCACAGAGATTCCTGGTTCTGGAGACGATGGCGATGCACTGGATCCTTCGTCTTCCGTCGGACTCGCCGGCTCACAAACTGTGCCCAACGTGGGAACACCCACCGCAGTTTCTGCTGCTGGGTTTGGAGAAGAAAGCGATGTCTTGGAACCTCTTACCACGACTCTTGGTCTTGCAACATCCAGAACTTCGCCGTCTCTGGCCAGCAGCAGTGCTGGCAGTCTCGGCGTCGACATGCCCATGACCTCCGTTGTGACCACGATAATATACACTACCATCAACCCAACAAATCCCACAGCCCTCATGGAAGCTGAACTTTGCTCCACGCTGTATTTCCCAGACTGCGGTTGCCCAACGCAGGTTACGCCGACCGTCCCGATGACTACGATCGAGGCATCTTGCAATAGGTGCGGCTCCAAAGACGAGAGTTTAGTCACGCTTACCGTTCCGGAGAGCGCATACAGATCTCAACAGTCCGTCGTCGAAGAAAAGTATCGTTCCGGGGGAAGCCGCCTACAGCCCCAACTAAGCAAGCTGTACCCCGAAGAGAGCCAAACCCAGCCGAGCATGGTTGCTGTGGAGGTGGCACCAGCACGAACTGACTTACCGGACGCCGGCAAGCCAATTGTTGTACCTCAATCATCTATCGCACCTGCAGTGTCAGTCGTAACAGCAACTGCAGTCGGTTCTGGCGGGTCAGATACTTCTGAAAACCAGGGCAACGCTTCAAACGGGTCTGGAAGTAAGGATGCACATGGCAATACGGTGGTTTCTCCGGCCAACCCCGCAGCATCTATTGGTCCAGTTGGTGCGGCCGACACTAATTCTGTTGCTGCAGCTATTCCCACGCAGGCTGTCAGCTCATCAAATCCACAAAGCTCCATACCAGGCTCCTCAGACGTCGCTGGTGCGGGTCCCGGTGTCGGTGGCACGAGTCCGGGCGGCTCGGACTTCGGCCCCGCGTCCGGCCCCAGCTCTGGCGAGATGCCCTTGCCGCCCTCCTCGACCAAGTCAAATACTGGCGGATCGGTATCCTCAAAACCGAGCACGGTGGTTGTTTCTGGTTCCTCTAGACTCCAGCAGTGGTTTGATAGCTTCTTCTTTGGTTCTGCAACCTTGCTTTCTATCACATTGGTTCATCTCAATTAAGCTGAGCGTGTACTCAAGCAATAGAGGTGTTTTGTACTTTCATGAACATAGCATCTTTGAATTCATTCTGGACTCTTTTCCGGTCAATCAGTTGATCGGCCTTTAACATCTATTCATCAATTGTAAACCTTTACTTCATGTTACAAGTCGTGGACGCTGAAGTTGTTGATCCTTGGAGCGGAAAATAGTACATGTAGATATCACATGGTAGTCTCAGAGTGGCTCTAGGCAATCATATCTCTAGACAAGTTTGATCGTCTCCGCCTTCGCATCAGAGAACAGCTCGAAGACCTCCACTCTCTCCTAGAACCCGTTGAAGGAGTCCCAGATCCCAAAGCAGATCCTCTCATAGGTGTCCCTCGCGCCGGCCACCCTCCTCAATACCAGAAACCCGACAATCACCTGTACCCCATGCAATTTGTGTCTCTTCTCTCTCATGTGTAGCTTTTGCTTCTGGAAGGTATACAGCTGCAGGCACGCATAATGCGTTTTCTCGTCCCACTGGCAGCAATCCAATTCACCCCTCGGCTGCATTGGGGACGTCCAGCAGTAGGCATGTGAGCTTCCCTCCTCTATCGTTGGACGCTGCTCGACGTCCAGGAGCACCCGCCAGCTCTGCCGCCTCCGTGTGCGGGCGAAGGATGTTACCCTGTATCTCCCTTTCCCATCTCCCGGTGACTGCATTTGATTGTACCACGTATAGTTCCAGAGCCTCCTGTCATCCTTGACGTGAAGCGTAGCCAGGTCCACCGGGGTCAAGAGGCCAGAGAGAACCACAGACGCCGACTCCATGATTCCGTCTGTGTGATTTGCGACGTTTCTTGGAATGCACGTGATGCCTCTCACCTTCATGTCGCAACTTACCTGGGGGTTGTCACCCTCTTCGTACCTGCCGGCGGTGACTTCCATGTGTCGGAAGACTACGGGACCGTCCACCGAAGCCCACGACCAGGACGGCGCACAATACTCCTTATACTTTGAGTGGTTGGCATGACCGGTCTTGTTTAGGAGGGGATACTCGACCGTCCAGGCAAGGCCAAGAACGAAGCTTCCCCTCCAGAGTCCAGCATAATAGGATGCGGGGAGACCGGGCGCCATGGAGGGGTCCGATGTTACCAGTGTCTTCTCGTCAAATATGGCAATAATGTGTTCGTCCCGGGACAGGAACTTCGCGCGGACGAGCCTCTGTTGGAACAATCTCGCCAGGCCTGTCAAGGCGGCCAGCTTGTCGCTGGATCTCGTCAGGAAGCGTCGCGAATACAGCTCGACAAGCTTCAGCCATTCCCGGTGGAGCTGAGAGAGTTTCAGGAGGTTTGTCGGTCCGTCGATCGAGCCCGATATCAGCTGTTCATCGCCGACGTCGACATCCTCGTCAAGATGGCCGCACTCACACATGTTCCTCTCGCGGCAGTGCCACGCCATTTCCCGGCCGTCAAAGACCAGTCTCCGTTGCGGGAGGATGTTCTTCTGCAGGCACCAGCCGCGAGAGTCCGAGGAGAAGACCTGGAACTGCTCCACCTCGCCGTCCCTGGCGAAGAGGAGGTCTCCAGCAGGGCCCAGGCCAGGCGGCACGCGGGCGCGGATGGGTCGCTGCCACTCTGTGCTTCCCAGCTGCTGCCGGCTGAGAAATCCCATCTTGCACGAGCTCGGTGCTCTCTCGGTAATGGTGAAGAAGGAGTTCGCGTAGATGTCCATCATCTTTGCGGATTCGACGTTCCAGTCGGCGCTGTCATCTTGGACAATACACAGCGCGTCGACCCAGAGGTACTTGACTTGCAGCTTGACGCAGACTTTGATGGTGTCTTGGACTGTCTGCGGTAACTCCGACACATGGATGCCGCGAGCGTGGGATGACATGTTTGACTTCACCGTCGTCGTGACGCCACTCGTATCGGGGCCCCAGCAGTAGCTCAAAGCCGCATATCGCAGGGGGCCAATCCCGGAGGATTCAACGAGATTCACTTGGTCAGTCGAAGGGCTCTGAATGCTTAAGAGTCGGCGGGGCGCGAAATTGGGGTCGCTAGGCCGACAGGTGGGATGTCTTTCCACGCAATTCCGTAACCATAGTGAGGCTCGGGCGAACGCCGGGTCAGAGTCTGATGACGGCGCTATTTCGACGCTCTCTCCAAAGACAATCTTTTCGAACCTGTTCAGGTCACCTGATTCTAGTTTCTCGAAGTTTTACACGTTGTCAGTGATGATCTCCGTCGTCTGGCAGTGGGGATTTCGACAGCTACCTGTGATGCGTCGATAGAGTTGTAGGTGGTCTATCGGCTTCGTAGCTTCGAGCAGTCGAATGGTCCCAGAGCCTCCCGAGTGCAGCGATGACAGTTTCGAGTTAACTAACCATCTCTGCTGTGGCCTGATAGAAATAGAGAGATCGCGTCCCCGCGCTTCAGACAACCACCCCGGCTTTGTCTGTCTAATGATGTCCATCAGTCCTTGGCAAGACGAGCAGCCCTTTTCAGTACATTCTTGAAGATTTTGAAGGGGCTCTGGAGATGTCAGATGCCGTAGCAACGGCCCTCTTTGGCAGTCTTGCCTTTGATCTTGACTGTGCATGCCCATTGTTGAAGGCGTGTCCACGGAAGGTATGTGGCAAATATGTCGCGAGCGGCCAGAGCAACCGATTACTGCTCACCAATTACAAATGTTCCGGTACTTTTCAGTAGCTAGAGTCAATACGGCGATGATTTCATGCCGGATGAAATGTGTCTTGTCAGACGAGTACAATCGTAGCCTGATGTCCAGTGGCACAAGGGAACCCAACAGTATTTGGCCACATGGATGCTCCGCTTCGGTAGAGGTACAGATAGATACGCCTCTCCCAAGCCATGAGTTCAAATGAACCACCGACCTATTCCTGGTTGGTGCTTGGGTAGTGTGCTGGTACAGCTCTTTTTTCCAGCATCCGAGAGGGAACCCCAGAAAAGGGAGACATCTCTTAGCAAACAAAAGGTTCCCTGATATAAGAAGATCTTTGTGATTTTTGAAAACCAAAGATACATCTCTTCATCTAGCCTACTGTGATAGTTTCACCAACGCATTTAGATATGCTACTAAGGCTCCTACCTCAGTCGAGGCTGTGGTGCACGCCCCATCACCAATCGGCAATTATTATACACGACCTGACGTTCCTGATCAATGAGAAACATACTCCATCAGTGTGTTTGCCAAAGTGCACACGGCACGTTTTTAAACGCCGCAGTGCTGCCTGTATTGCAGGTCAGATTGATGGACGCATCTGCTCTAAGCAAATTGTAGTTGCCCGAAAGCCTTCCAGTAACAAGATTTTCATTTAATCAAACTTCACCCGGAGGTCTCAGGTGTTTTTCATTGCGAATGTGGAACTACGCAGACTACTATAGGTTGTTGAGCTACTTACTCTTCGCCCCTTACTCGATTCTCTGAGGCGATGCTTAACAGTTTTGATCCGAGCGACGCATCAATTGAAGACTTGTTCCACATCGGAAGTCATGAACGTCTTAATTTAGAGACACAAAGCCTCTTGAATTCGAGGGGATACAAGGTGTAACAACAGAGAACCTAGACATTTATTCCGAGCGAGAACGTTTTCCTTCAGCATCAACTCGGAGCGACCACTTGGGTCCGCCTTGGCATCCCATGTTTCTCGAGACAGAAAATCTAAAAAGGCGTCGCGTGACCATTGACATAGTACAACCAAGTAGTTGGAGAAACGAGGTGTTCCAGGGAACCCTGAGCAACCAACAAGAGGTCGACAGAGCCCCTCATTGGTTCTATGAGAGTTATCGTTTCAACTAGTGATTTGCTTCTCGAAAGTGGTGTTGGGCTTCTACGAATGGCCTTGGCACATTTGATTTACTCGTGATAAAGCCGATTTGTTGTTGTCTCTTTTGTTCAGGGCATGTGTGGATCACGAAGGGCCGCCCATCCGAAGCCGATGCGAAAACGCCGATGCGTTGTGTTCTAGACATCTGAACACTACACCCCTCATTACTCCGTCCGTACATCTTCTCGCAAGGCATGCAAGGCCTGCTTTATCCGACATTTGCTCCAGAAAACATACCACCACGGCTGCCGATCCTGCGTCGTCGGTGGATAGATGCCTCGGGACCGCATGCTACAGCAAGTCGCTCGGCAGGCCGCCCAGTGCTCACAGTCCATACATACGCGAGCCAAACGCTGTGAACCGCAACGCACCACGACTGTTTCACGATGGGCCGACTTTAAATTGTGGTGGTCAGTCGAACGCTTCATGCCAAAAACATGCCATTTCTCCCCCTGTGATCCGTGGAACGGTCCCGCCGGTGGGCTGCATCGGGTCGCAGAAGAAAACAGACAAAAATTTCCGGCGCTAAGATCGCTGCGCGAGAGCCACTTTTCCGGGTTTTGAATCACCCACATTTTCGGTGTCTAGGCCGCAAGGTGCAAAGACGGGCAATACGCAGGGCGATCCTCTCAACGAGAACTGTTACAACAAACAATTACACCGAATCACTAGTGCACATAAAATTGAGACAAAGCTTTCTGATTTTCTGATTGTTTTTCTGGGGTAGTAGAGATGTTTTGTACAAATGCTCGAACAAAAGTGACCTAAAGCACTCCGTGTCCCTAAATCCCCTCTCCGAGCAGCCTGCCGTTCTCGATCCAACGCCGGTGCTGAAAGATGTAGAAACAAACATGGGGTATGGGGGGTATTGATCATGAAAAGGCGAAAATAAACAACTCAAAGGATCCATCCCGACGCCGAACAATCCGCATCATGCCTGTCGTCTCGCCACCGGAAATAACAAGTCATCACACGGCGAACCCGTGTAGTGGATGATGGGTGGTGTTGAAGATGGCGCCGAAAATTTTTCGTTGGAGCCTCAAAGCTTGGGTCAAGGCGGGCTCGGAATTCATCGGCTTGCTGCGATGCTGGGAAGAAAGCGTGTGGGGTGCCACTACGCTGTGGTTTTTCTCCCTGGCTCAGCCTGGCCTGTCGCGCCAAAGTGCGAACAAGGCCGTTGCCGTCTGTC